GGGTGGGAAGTTTGCAGAAAATGGTGATGGTGAAGTTAAGTACTATGGTGGAACTGTCAGGGTAAGAGTGATCAAGGAGGGTATAAGGCTTGAAGATTTGAGGGTTATGATAGGAGAATGGTTTGGTGTAGATAGTAATGGTTGCGACATTAAATACACATTGGGCTTGAATGATAGGATATTAATAGATCTTATTGATGATGATGAAGTTGACAACCTATTTGAGTATAATGATAGTAATGCACATGTTTACGTAGCAGCTAAAGGTAATGAGAATACGGAGGAAGAAGTGGCTGATCGAAACAGGTAAGTCACAAGTTTCGGATTATGGAAGTTGTTACTTGCAATAATGTTGTTGTTAATATCATAACAAATGTTGTAATTATACATGCAGTATGTCAAAATTGTCAGGACTGTCACAGCAAAATGATGAGCCAATGATTGAGGATGCTGTCGAATGTGTGAATTACATAGCAGCTGAAAATGTTCTTAGCCTGCCATATGCAGTAGAGAGTGCACCAACTCCTTTGCCAGGAATGAATTCCCTGAAATGGAAGACAGTATTGTTAGGATTGAGGCAGACTTTTCTAGATGCGGATGATTTCAAGAAGAAACTACACAAATTCAGCATTGCAAACAAATTTGAGTATAAATATGTGAAGAATTCTAATGCCCATATGTATGTCAAATGCAATGTTGAAGGTTGTCCATGGAGGATCAGTGCAAGAGTAGCTGCAAAGAGTACTCCAGCATTTTTACGTGTAACGACATTCAAAAATGAGCATGTTCATAATGCTCAAGACAATCTTCATGTGACACATGGTGGATCAGCTAGCTTGACATCATCAATTATAATTGAAGAGGTTAGGGATCATATAGACATGCATCCAAATGATATAAAAAAGAGGTTGGAAAGAGATTATGGTGTGAAGTTGACATATAAGCAAGCATACAGGGCCAAGGAAAAAGTGTTGGAGGACATACATGGCAGACCTGATCATTCTTACATGCTTATTCCATGGATATGTGACCGGTTGAAGGAAACCGATGACAAAACAGTGGCAAAATGGGTGGCTGCAAGGAACAACAGATTTGAGCGTGTATTCATAGCCTATGGGTGTTGTATAGAGGGTTTTATTGCTGGTGCTAGACATGTACTGTATATTGATGGAAGTCATTTAAGTGGACCGTATAAGGGGACACTACTTTCAGCGTCGGCTTATGATGCGGACAACGAATTATTACCTTTTGCCATTGCGATTGTGAAGGGAGAGACGCTTGAGGATTGGACATGGTTCTTACATATGATCAAGGAGATAGTTGGGTCAATGCAATTAATAATCATTTCAGACTGACACAATGCAATTATAGGTGCTGTGCAAGCAATATTCGAAGGTGAGCGACATGCGTACTGTTACAGACATGTTAAGGAGAATTTCAGTACACAAATGATCAAGTTAAATAGAGGAAGAAGGAAGACAAGTGGCAACACAAGGGAGGATGGACTGCATTTCCTAGATGCCATTGCATATGCAAGGCTTGACACAGAGTTTGATCAAGCAATGGATAACATGAGACACTTCAATTCCCAATTATTTGAATGGCTTGTCAATCATGGTGATATTCACAAGTGGGCCTTAAGCAAGTTCCCTTTTAAACGATGGGACAACATAACAACAAACCTTGTAGAGTCATTCAATGCGTGGATGCTGAAGGAGAGAAGATATAATGTCGCCCAACTTATACATGAGCATCGTGAAAAAGTAGCCAAGAAGATGTATGCAGCAAGCATGGCAATGAGCAAATGGAAAGAATGGTGTAGGCTCAAATACAAATGCAACATTGATGGAAAATGTGGCGAGATCTGCACAGATGTTAAGTGTTCCTTACGGAAGGGGTAGGGTGTGTGTCCATACAGCAAAGGAGCCATTAATGTTGATCTTGGAAAAGGTGAATGTAGCTGTGCAGCTTGGCAAATGTCAGGCATCCCATGCCCACATGCATGTGCAGCTATCAAGGCCTTGAATTGCAATGTGTATGATTTTGTTGAAGAATGCTACAAGATTACGTCCCAACAAAAGATTTATGGTAGGACGATGACTCCAGTGGTGACAATCGACATGCCAAATCCTAATAACTATCGGCTGCAAGATATAGCAAGTCAAGTGTTTTTGGCACCACCTTGAACTAGTCGACCACCTGGAAGGCCTAGGATAAATAGGCAAGAGTCGCAGTTTCAAAACAAGAAGGTCTACCATTGTAGTGCATGCCAGCAAGTTGGCCACACAAGAAGAACATGCAAGAATCCAAACCCAACTTAGGGTTTCATGTCAATACCAACAGGGGTAATTTTTTTGTTATAGGAAAGGAATGACTCTTGAACCCTTTTTAATTTTTTTTTGGGAGAAGGGTTGATAGGTAGGCTATCTTTTTTGTTAATGATGTTAACTGGGTAGGAGATGTTCTGTAATCTGAATGACAAGAAAACATTAGGCTGTGGGTTAATCCTAATGTTAACTTGTCATTTGGATATCAGTTATGTAGCTTCTGTCATGGGCCTACTGGTTTTTAGTAAATATTATCACGTCAGTGGTCAATTCCTTTACAGATATAGTAAAGTCTGAATGTTAATGTAAAATCGTATGATGGGTAGGCTATCCTTTTGTAAATGATATTCACTGGGTAGGATATGTTTTGTAATGTGAATGAGGAGGAAACATTAGGTGGTGGGTTAATCTTACTGTTAACTTGTCATTTGAATATAAGTTATGTACCTTCTGTGATGGGCCTACTGGTTTTTGGTAAATATTGTCACTTCAGTGGTAAATTCCATTACACATGTAGTAAAGTCTGAATGTTAATGTAGACATCCTATGATGTGTACTTCTATGTAACATAGATGACCTTTTGTTTAATGCCCTCAAGGGAGATGGTGGAAGTTGCCAATGGGTATGACTGGAGTGGTTAATGTCATCAACGATGTTGTTATTCACATTACCAATGTTGTTATTATCATTTCCAGGCTAGTGAAACTCCCTGAAAATATGTTACTTGACTTTGAAATAAAGGAAGTGGAAGTGGAAAAAGCAGAGTGGTAAATATCATCACTAAAGTTGCATTTAATATTTCCAATGTTGTCATTATCATTACGGGGGTAGTAAAATTTCCTGAACAATTTGATGCGTGGGTTTGACTTAAAGGAACCGGAAATGGAAAAAGCAGACTAGTAAATGTCATTACTGAAGTTGCAATTAAAATTTCCAATGTTGTCATTATCATTACGGGGGTAGTACAATTTCCTGAACAATTTGATGCGTGGGTTTCAGTTAAGGGAACTGGAAATGGAAAAAGCAGACTGGTAAATGTCATTACTGAAGTTGCAATTAACATTTCCAATGTTGTCATTATCATTACGGGGGTAGTACAATTTCCTGAAGAATTTGATGCGTGGGTCTCAGTTAAGGGAATCGGAAATGAGAAAAGCAGACTGGTAATGTCGTTACTGAAGTTGCAATTAACATTACCCATGTTGTCATTATCATTACGGGGGTAGTAAATTTCCTGAACAATTTGATGCGGGTTTGACTTAAAGGAACCGGAAATGGGAAAAGCAACTGGTAAATGTCATTACTGAAGTTGCAATTAACATTTCCAATGTTGTCATTATCATTACGGGGTAGTACAATTTTCTGAAGAATTTGATGCGTGGTCTCAGTTAAGGGAACCGAAATGGGAAAAGCAGACTGGTAAATGTCATTACTGAAGTTGCAATTAAAATTACCCATGTTGTCATTATCATTACGGGGTAGTAAATTTCCTGAACAATTTGATGCGTGGGTTTGACTTAAAGGAACCGGAAATGGGAAAAGCAGACTGGTAAATGTCATTACTAAAGTTGCAATTAACATTTCAATGTTGTCATTATCATTACGGGGGTAGTACAATTTCCTGAAGAATTTGATGCGTGGGTCTCAGTTAAGGGAACCGGAAATGGGAAAAGCAGACTGGTAAATGTCATTACTGAAGTTGCAATTAACATTACCCATGTTGTCATTATCATTACGGGGGTAGTAAAATTTCCTGAACAATTTGATGCGTGGGTTTGACTTAAAGGAACCGGAAATGGGAAAAGCAGACTGGTAAATGTCATTACTGAAGTTGCAATTAACATTTCCAATGTTGTCATTATCATTACAGGGGTAGTACAATTTCCTGAAGAATTTGATGCGTGGGTCTCAGTTAAGGGAACCGAAATGGGAAAAGCAGACTGGTAAATGTCGTTACTGAAGTTGCAATTAACATTACCCATGTTGTCATTATCATTACGGGGGTAGTAAAATTTCCTGAACAATTTGATGCGTGGGTTTGACTTGGGGAACCGGAAATGGGACAATTTCCTGAACATGGGGATGCAAATGGGGAAACCATAGTGGTAAATGTCATTACTATAGTTGCAATTTCCCTTAACAATGTTGTGATTTTCATTACCCAGGTTGTGAAATTCTGACAATTTATACGTGGGGACGAAAATGCAGTTGCAAAAAGCAATAGCGAGGTGGTAACAATCATTAAAAAAGTTGCAATTTTCATTACAAATGTTGTCATTATCATTACTGGGGTAGCGAAAATGGATTCAAAAAACGTGATTTGGGCTTGAAAGACTTCAGATGCAAATGGCAACAGCGATGTGGTAACTATCATTACAGAGGTTGCAATTCTCAATCTGAAAGTTGTTAATCCTATTACTTGTGTAGTTAACCTGGGTCCAAGTGGATGTAATTTGGGGCACAAATAATCAACTTGTGATTATCATCACGGAAGTCACATGGCATGTTGTAAATACCATAACTTTTTTACTCAAATTATCCCAAAAAGGATTGCAATTAGGCCAACAACTGGCAGTCACTTAGTACCTCCAACCATAAGTCAAATATTAAGACTTCAAACTAACACTCCTTTTACAAATACTATATGCCTAATCTACATAATGTCTCCTCCTATCACAGATGGCGTCTTTTGGTCAGTGTGGTGGCTTGGGTTGATGAAAGCAAGCTTAATGCTTCATCACGTCTTGAATTAAGCTCATGATTCACTAGCCACCACATGAGGTTTCGTCGGAATTCAGCCACTTGTTCATCCGTATAGTGAAGTATCTCACCGGGCTTCCATTTACTCAACCATATTAATACATGAACGCCGCAGTCTCGCCTGCACATCAAAACATCCCAACGATGTAAAAGAATGAAAATAACACATTGGGCTGCTTTGAGACGTAATAATATCAACAACATAAACCACTCACAGATTGTTTTGTTGCGGAACAGGAGCCCAAATGATATCACTCATTTTCTTCTTCCCAGTGGCATTAGGCTTAACTATCTCAATAATGTCATAAAATCTATTCCTCTGCACAATATCATTACGCAATTGTAAATAAAAGGTAAATGAAATGTCAATCATAGAAGATGAGTTGCATTATCCTTACACATTCAGTGACGACGGTCGTCATGTCATCAATAATTACACCCTTCTTCTTGCTCTTCTTCTTACCCTCTAAATTTGGCTTCATTGAGTCCAGCACATAGAAATTCATTGTGCTAGGCTCAAGCACAACACAGAACCAGTGAGCGCCAACAAGTGTGGGTCCAAAGATCAAATCACATTCTCCTATGTTGTAGCCTACATTTTCAGGTAAAAATTGTTTCTTCCGTTTTGTAGCATCCCACAGCTTTGGGTTAGCTGCCATTATTGCCTAAAACATGAACATTTTAGTCATTTATCAATATCAATCAACAAAAAACTAACATCTCAGCAAGCTTACCATAAAATCAGCATCAAAAATGTGCCGCTTCACCTGCCCTTCCTTCTCCATATCAGCCATTAGAGTCTTGCACACAGTTGACATCAGCTGTACGCAAAGAGATTATTGTTTTGATGAACCCAAAACGCAGCATCTACTAAACAATTAAATGACCTCATCACAAATATTCTACTTACCCGGTTACCTATTTTCTCAATTCCGCCAAGTGTCCTTAGCTGATCCCGAGTGATATCTTCATCAGAGATTTTCACCAAAGGCCTAAAAATATGTTGTCAATATCATTATGCATGTAGTCAATTACCACAAAATTGTAATGAATATGATTACGTGGGTAGTGGATATGTACATACATGTCACCCTCCTTGCTTGAACACATACGGGAAACTATGTCATAAAACCGGTCCTTGTCATCCATGGGCCTCTTTCGCCTCTTAGTTGGCTTTGTCAAAATCCATGGAGAATTGATAGCGGATTTCATCTCCCTTTGCGATCTCCGGAGTTGACATCCCTTGTCCATGGGGGACAAGGGCAGGGGAGACTCCATAATTTCTTTGTCTGCACCTTCTGCTGCAACACCGATGTCATCACCCCTATCTGAGCCAGTTGCATCATCGTCTCCCTGATCATCTCCCCCGTGGAACTCATCTCTATCATCACCTTCGTCATCAGACTCATGTCCATCATGATCATGGGGTCTTCATCGCCAAATGCATCATCATCTCCCTTATCATCATCTGGGACGTCAATAGGGTCCTCATCATCTGTGGTCACATTATTTTCCTCTATCCTTATCTGCACCTTATCTAGCTCATCTTCCATTGCACTTATAAGCCTCCTAGTGCTTAATTCGATCTGAGCCATCAATCGTCCGTGCAACTTCTGTAACTCCTGCAGCAAACAATTTAAAATGAGTAAACACTTTTTTCATGAGATTATTTGCTAATGAGAATGAAAATTAGTAACGAAAGCACATACCGGGTGTAAATGAGCCACACTTCTGCGTTTTCCTTCATCCTTCCCACTTCTATCCATACTTCCCTTGCCCTTATACAGTAAACCCCTCTTGCTTTCCCTCTCCTTCTTTTCCAGCTTCCTTATCCTCTCATCAGTCCAGAATTGAATGGCATTTAGGGACCCTCTCTCAACAGTTTTGGATAGTGGGAAGTGCTCAGCAAAATATAACTACAACAGTAAATCATTAACTTGCCAATTCCACAAATAAAGAAAACAATAACTTAGAAGCATAAGTCAGAAATACATACCAACAGGAGGTAGATGCATCCTCCCACATTGCAGCTTCCTTCATCTTCATCTTCGTCTTTCTTTGCTTTTGTGTACACTTTCACATAATCTCCCATCTCTTTCCACAAGTGCTTCACAATGTACGTGGCCCAATCAAATTGGTGAAATCCCTTCATGGTACAGCACATGACTCTTATTAGCTTGTCACTCACAGTTGTTTGTGAAGTAGGAGTTAAAAAACTCCCAAGTGTGTACAGCATAAACAGAACTCAAACTCATCTTTCTTCTGCCCAGATTTAATGTCATTGAGTATCTTCGTATAAGGGACTTTACCAAATTCCTCCTTCAACCTCTGGTATGTCTCATCATCATCACATACGTCCATTTTTACCTTCTCCCCTGTGTGGGGTACACCCAACAAGTTTGCAACATCATTTGCTTCTATTTCCTTTATTATCCCTCTTATTAGAAATTGATGGGTAGGCGGATCATATGCTCGGAGAACACATACTATGAGGTCACGAGGGAGTCTCTCACATCCAATGTCAAGTAAATGGCCAAAGCCTAAATTTTGTACCCTCACTTTCAAATCTTCATCATCTTTTATGAAGTCCACTAATGACTTAAATTGCCGAACCGAGCAACGAGTGCTAAAAGCCACTTTTTTCTTCCTCTTCTTCTTCATCCCTTCCTTTCTTGATTGCTTCACCCTATCACTGTATTTCTTCTGCTCCTCTGGTGTCAACTGCTTCCATGCCTTTGATGCCTTTTTCGCTTGTTCAGACATATTCTTAAACTTCTCCCCACCCTTAAGAAATTCTCGTCTAAACAACATGTAGCCATTCTTCACTTCTTCACTTGGCCCTCCTTCTACAACAAGCATAAATAACTAAATCTGGTCAGTTGAACAGCTCAACTTTCTTTGCATTTCAAAAAAGTTGTCATTACCATTTCCAGTGTAGTCATTCACATTATAGGTGTTGTTATTTAGCCACAAAATGAACCTCGACTATTTACTACTCAGATAACTAAATTTGCTGATCACGTAATGAATGTTATTGCTTCTTTCTCACTTCACAGAACAGAGCAGAAAATAGAGACTAACGACATAATACACTTTAACAACAAACTAAAAACAATCTAATCTTACCAAACCTATATAACTCAACCACTTAATTCCTATTACAACTGCATATTACCGTTTGTCGCAGTCACAGTTACTTCGCCAACCTCCTCCATGACAGCAATGCGATTGATGCTTCTCAGCACTTCAGCGACCTCTACCTCTTCAATCCTCAAACCAGCAGATTAATCTCTACCTCTTCAATCCTCAGACCAACAGATTAAAAAATAAATGAATATGCATCAAAAGTGATTCTTTCTCGATGAAATGTTACAAAATTTGCATCTTCAAGTAACTTATATTATGGAAATTACTACTACACAGTGCCACAGATGACCAAGAAAATAATAGCAATACATAAGAAGGCCACAAAGGTTATTCTCACTTGGTACATACTGAAATGAATATGCATGTTCATCCCCAGGTAAATTGCACCGCTAAATGACTGAGGTTATGCCCATTAGGTAGCTATATCTTCAAAACAGAGTTCTACCCACGAAAAGTCACCCCTTTCAATTTATTTTACAATGTTAAATTTGCATAACCAATATGGGGATACAGTTGAACTCATTTTAGTCCCATACACAATGCTAAAAATGTGCAATGTCCATTACACGAACAGACCAAACAAGGGGGCGGAAACAGGAAGCATCCTGGCTCATGTGCGACAGTGGTCTCAATTTATGGGCCTCTAAAAAGTAGTGTAGCAATCATAAACACACACGTATATTATGCCTTCCAACATTACAGCAACACAGCAATCAAACAACAACAATCAGAGAGATATCTCGTTAAACATGGACCGAGTTATATGAATCAGAGCAAGCAAGCAACTTCTGTAATTCCGTCACACACAGAAGCACCGACTTTTAATCTAATCTACCTTTACATTCTATTTTAAGCCTTTACCATTGCTTCCCCTTTTACAACCAACATTCACCATTTTCCCCAAATTAAAACACTCCAATCAGACAAGCACAAGACGGAGACATTTGGGTGGCTTACCGGGGTCGGAACGAATATCGACTTCTTCCTCAACCGGTGACGACCTTACAGGTGCTCTCCCTCGGAATCTCTCTCTAGCCACCCCCTCTCCCTTTTGAAGATTGAAGCTTCTCACTGGTTTATTGCTTCTCACTGCGACCCATGGAAAAGACGAAGAAGCCGAACGCTATTCACATTCCTCGTTCACAGTTCCTCAACCATGGCAATGTGAGACTTGCGACAACCATATGCAGTTTCGCCGAGTGCAATGTGAGAGTTCGGAGAACCCTATGGTCTATGCAGTTTCACCGAGTGGAGAACCGCCAACCAAACTCCAGTTTCGTTGCACAATATCCCGCCCTCTGATTCCCGAAAAAATTGAGGGCATTTCAGTCTTTTTGGCGAATTATCCAAATTCCAGATTGATACCCCATGCCCATTTTGTCATTTCAGTAATTTACAAGCCCATTTTGTCATTTCAGAATTCAACAGTTATTTTCTTGTCATTTTCCCAAAAATAATTTTAATACATGTATTTTCAAATTTTATAATTTTAATTTTTTACCGCATAACGAAACATATTTATTTAGGTTTCTTTTAAATGACTAAAAAATATACTAAATAAATATTTTTTATCATATAATGTAAATTTTTTATTTATAAAATTATTTAAATTTATAATTTAAATTTTTTAAATAAAAATTTTGTTAGAAACATTTACAACATATTTAGTCTATTTATATTTATTTAAAAAATTAATAAAATTTTCATTCAAATTTATGTCTACATTAATTAAGTTAATTAATTTTCTATCTGAATAAGGTCAAAATACAAAATAAATAATTATTTTTAAAAATTAAAAATAAAATTAAGAAAATTTTAAAATTTTTTACTCAAAATTTAAAGATTTAATATTATGAAGACTAAATCAATAAATAAATAATATCTTAATCTAAATTTTAATTAAAAAATATATTTTTAGAATATTATTAACAGAGTTAACAATTTAAGTTTAAGTTTGGATTTAAATATTTATCTTTAAAATAGAAAAAAATTGGTGTGATTAAGACGAAATGTAAGCAGCTCACAATCCGACAGCACAGTGGATAATGGAAAGGAAAGGAAAGAAGGAAAACGATAACCATCGTTGTAACAATGGAGTTTCTAGTCCAACTAGCCGTCAAAAATCACCCCGAGTTACAGCACAGTGGTCGTTGGTCTCCTCTCCCTGAGCTCGTTCCATGCGCGTGCTCTCTCTGCAACACGAAGTCGTCGCCCCCAGCCTCCAACGTAGAACCAGTCGACGGCGATGACGTCGTCCTCTCCTCCTGCAGAACTCGTCAGCCACCTTCAGAGGAAGAAGATCCAGTTGCGCCTCCTTGCATATCCCAGATCCAGCGTTGGAGATCTCCTCAGCTGCAAGACCAGTCTCCTCTCCCTTTACCAGTTCGGCGTCTCCTCCCTCTTTCGACACTGTCTTGCTTAGGTTGGAGAAGAAGACACCTGCGACGACGCACCACTCCTCCAAAACCAGCGAAGAAGACGATCCTCAACAGTGGAAAACGCCTCTGTTTTTTTGTCCAGATCCAACCCCAAACCAAAACCCTTGATCCGTTTGTTATGAAACATTGAAAACAGGAGAGGGGATTAATATTATAATTAAAAAAAGCTATTAAAATAGTATTTATCATGAGTAATTATTTATTACATTAGACAAGCCTATAAAGATGGGATTGGTGAATATCACTTCTTCCAATTATATTCCCCAATCCTACATATATTGATTTAGCTAATCCCATGTAACAAGCAATCTCTTGTAATAAACACTCTTTTAATAGTTTTGTTGAATCCCAATCTTAATTCTTATTCCTAATTTTTAATGCTTCTTACAAAATGATACCATCATTCTATTGTCCAAACACTGTCGTTCCGCTAGTCCTCAGATTTCAAACTTTTCTCTTCTCAAAACGTTGTGTTGGCCATCAGCAGAAAGATAAAAAGGAAATATTAAAAATACATAAAGCAAAACTGAAAAGGAAATCAAAATAAAAAAATAAAGAAAAGGAAAGAAAAGTGAAATAAAAAAATGAAATAAGATGAGATAAAATCAACTAAATGTTAAAACTATTATTAATTACTTTTATTTACTTAAAAATAAAATATTTATAAGAAAATCCCCCAAATAATGCTCCAAATTAATTTCTTTAATTAGCTCATAAAAATCATTCAAAATGTCATTAATAATACACCCAAAAATGCCTTTAAATATATTAAAATGGAGAGTTACCATCGGCACAAAGTGTGGTGGTGTGTGTGAACATGATCTTCACTGCGTTAGTGGCACAGTTGTTTTTGGTTTCACTATGCCATCTCAAGTACGTCATCTTCTTGCTATTTGCTGGCGTTGATAGTGATAACGTGCACTGTGGTGTATTTCTTCTTGCCGGAGACCAAGAGGGTGCCCATTGAAGAGGTACATCTGCTGTTTGAGAAGCACTAGTTTTGGAAGAATTATGTGGGATAGCATCACCAAGCTAAGGTATGATACAAAGCCAACCAAGACAACAAGCTTGACTATGTCAAGCCCACCGACTACTGAGTCTTCAAGCCCAAGTTACCGTACCCCTTTGGTTCTTTTCCCCTTACTGGAAACAAGTAGCCTTGTCCCCCTTTTATTGTTTCTTTTATCGTTTTTTTATTTTAAATTTATATAGTTTGGCTCTTTATTCATGATTACATTTTAATTGATTATGGTGAACAAAATTGCTTGAGTTTATATACCAACTTGTATTTTCAACCATAAGAATCTATAACAACCATTATGGAATTTTTTAATTTTTCATTCTATGTAACCTGCTGTTCGTAACTCTATGGGTTAAATTTATTTATATGTATAGTTATTAATTAATATTATTGTCTCGGCCCATTTCCCGTCTTCCAATTAAGGAAAACAAAAAGGGATTCGCTGCTAAAATTTTAGAAGGTTAATTTTGAAAACTTTTTATAAAAAGATAGTGAGTAGTGTCCAAGATTTGATTGTACGCGGAGAAGGTGTTAGATACCCCATAGCATCCATTCATAGGATTGGTTACCCAAAATCAATTACTCAAAATTAATATGACCTTTTATTATATTTTAATTATTCTAAAAAA